GAGGAAAGACCGCGAGGTCAAAAGAGACGGCATCTCCGTACCACAAGCGCGCCACGGCATGCACGCGCATCATTTCAAGATCATCGTGCTGAAGTTATAACCCGTAACACGCAGCGTAACTGACACTGGACGTCTTCAGTCATAAGCGCACAAGCACAGAAAGGTGAGAACCATTAGAGACGCCACGGCATGATGTTCGCCTCTGTAAGCGAAGAGTTTAAGCATGCTTCGAATCGAGGTTCCTCCAACAAAAGGTCCGACCTTCAACCTGGCGGCAAATCACGCGAGAGAGGATGGAGAGGAGGAGCGGGGGCACCTGTGAGAGTGGAGGGACGAGGTAGGCGGGAGGAGGAGAGGAGGAAGAGGAGGAGGAAGGGGAGGAAGAAGAGGAGGAGGAGGAGGAGGAAGAGTAGGCGGATGAGGAGGAGGAAGAGGAGGAGAGGAGGAGACGAGGAGAGGAGGAGGAGGAATAGGAGGAGGAGGAGGAGCAGGAGGAGGAGGAGGAGAAGGAGGAGAAGGAGTACGAGGAGTACGAGGAGGAGGAGGAGGAGGAGAAGGAGTACGAGGAGGAAGACCAAAGTAAACCTAAAATCCGCCGATCCGGCGTGTGAGTTTCTGAGAGCGTGGGCTTGAGCTCGCTCAAGCTTCGCTCTGCAGGGGGGGGGGACGCAAACGACGAAAGAATTGACACGCAAGGCCTCCCCAATGCCGGGACCGCTCCCCCCTGCACCTTCCTCTCCGGCGCCCCCCCCCTCTCTTCCTGCACCCCCCCCCTTCCCCTGCAATCTCCTCTCCGCCCCCCCCCCCCCTCTTCCTGCACCCCCCCGCCTCTGCACCTTCTCTTTCCCCCAGCTCCCCCCCCCCCCCTGCACTGCGCCCTGGGCAGGAGAGAGGGGGGGGGAGGGGGGGGAAAGGAGAAGGGGGGGGGGGGACAGGAGAGAGGGGGGGGGGACAGGAGAGAGGAAGGGTGGGGGGGGCAGGAGAGGGGGGGGGTTGGACAGGAGAGAGGGGGGGGAGGGGGGGGACAAGGGAGAGGGGGGGGGGGGGAATAAAAAGGAGAGAGGGGGGGGGGAGACAGGAGAGAGGGGGGGGGGGGGAAAGGAAGAGGGGGGGGGGGGGACAGGAGAGAGGGGGGACGGGGGGAAGAAGAGAGGGGGGACGGGGGGACAGGAGAGAGGGGGGACGGGGACGGCGGGGGGGGACAGGAGAGAGGGGGGGGGGGCAGGAGAGAGAGGGGGGGGGGGGAAAGGAGAGAGGGAGGGGGGAGGACAGGAGAGAGGGGGGGGGACAGGAAAGAGGAGAGGGGGTTGGGGGGGAGCCGGGATCATCACCATCTCCATCACCATCACCATCACCATCGTCACATCACCATCATCATCATCATCTGGAGCGCCCCGGATCGGCGCCACTGGCCGGAGGCCACTACAATATGCAACACCGATGTTGCAATGCACCATCCCGTCCCAAATCCCCTACTCGCCAGCTCATGTAAGCTTTCCTTTCCGCTAAAAGAAACGCCTTTTTGAAACACCAACACCCCATGGCTTTGCCGTTTAGGCGAAAGCTCTGGTTTGAACAGTAACAGCCGTACACCCTTTTGGAGGATAGTACGGATGCAAGGATGATCTGATCTCACAGTTCGTGGAGGTGTCCACCGAGATCACCGCTTCTTGTGGAAACACAGATGTGCTTCAACAACCACCGTCGTAACGCGAATGCCGGTTGCACTTGAAGGCCGATTTCTTCCTCGCCAGGGGTGAAGAAACGGACGCGCACACAGCGCCGAAAGAGAGGAGGAGGAGGAGGAGGAGGAGGAGGAGGAGGAGGAGGAGGAGGAGGAGGAGGAGGAGAGGAGGAGGAGGAGGAGGAGGAGGAGGAGGAGGAGGAGGAGGGGGAGAGGAGGAGGAGGAGGAGGAGGAGGAGGAGGAGGAGGAGGAGAGGAGAGGAGGAGGAGGAGGAGGAGGAGGAGGAGGAGGAGGAGGAGGAGGAGGAGGAGGAGGGAGGAGGAGGAGGAGGAGGAGGAGAGGAAGAACAGCCACAAACTCCCCGAAGGAAAATCTCGAGATTCGACTTCGCGCGTGCGCGCCCTTAAGCGCTCGACCGCGGCATGCGGGACACCCCTCGGAACCACGCCGAAGCCCTGGCCAAAATGGCACTGCAACAATGCACAGACGCGAGACAACCCCCAAAAAGCAAGGCCTAACAGGGGCGCGAGGGAGGGGGAGGGGAAGGACAAGAGCAGGGAATGGGGACCGAACCAAGTGTTCCAAGCGGTTGCGTGCATGAAAAACCTAAACCCCTGAGCGGGCCGTGAATAACCACGAACCTACGAAGACAGGGAGAGGCAGCAAACGAGCAAGAGGCCAAACGAACCCAGTGAAAGTCGAAGCCGAGAGGCCATGGCGGACGGAGGGCCTCAGCGCCCGACTGGCGCAAGCGGGACGGCGCCAGTGCTCTGGCGTGGTAGCCGCCCCCGGAGGCCGAACGCCTCGCCCCGCCACCACAAGGAGGAGAGGAGGGGAAGGGAGGCAGGAGGAGGAGGAGGACGAGGAGGAGGAGGAGGAGGAGGAGGAGAAAGAGGAAAGAGGGGAGAGCAGTTCCGACCCCGCTAGGAGACGGGCAAAGGATCCTAAGCAAAGCCTCGGACCCACCCGCAAAAAAAGGGAGGGGGAAGAGGAGGGGAGGGCAGAAAGAGGGGAGGAGGAACGATGGGAAGAGGGCGAGAGGAGGGAACTCGCGCCCAACTGCTACAAAAAGGCGACACTGGAGGAAAACAAGCAGAGCTACAAACTACGGCCGGCCGTGCCCGTCTTCTCCTCCAGCGCCGCAATGGACCTCAGGAGGTCGGCGAAGGCCACCCCGTCCTGGAAGTGCGTCCTCGCCTTGAGCGCATCGCCCCGTTTGAGGGCCATCATGCCCTCCTCCTGGTGATACTTTGCTAGGGCATGCGCACGTGCCACGATGAGCTCCACGTCGATATTCCCTATCATCCCGTGGACCGCGGCCAGCGCTTCCAGGTAAGCCGTGCTTCTGGCGCGAGTGGTGTCCATAGTAAGGAAGCCAAGGCCGCGGACGAGTGGGTCGTTCGAACGGGTCTTGCCAATGTGCTGGAGAATCTCCCGTGCCTTCTGGCTCCTGGTCCGCGGGGTGTGTTTGAGCCCCAGCTGGCGCCTCTCGTCGAGGCTCTCCGTGCTGCCGTCCGGCGCGAACCCAGAATGGCCCTGGAAGCCCTTGGGGTCCTGACACCCAGGCAGCTCGTCGGCGAACTCCGGAGTGATGTACCCCGCGGTCGCGAGCGTGACCACGCGGTCGTGCTTGGGCTCCGTTTCACACCCGCTGTCGAAGTTCTCCGTGCTGCCATCCGGTGTTAAACCAGCTTGCTCACCGAAGCCCACGGGGCCCTGACCGCTCAACTCGTTGTCGTACGCTCGCAATGGGAATCCGTACGCCCAATCACCAAAGGCGGAGCCAAGTGGACCCTCGTGGAGCGACATTGTGAACTGCTCATCCTCGCTGATCACGCTCGTCTTCTCGAGCTGCTCCTCTGTCGGCCGCCCCTTGTCGCTCGCGACGGGGATCCTCACGCCCTGGCCGTCCCCATCGCGGCAACCGTCCAGCTGCAGTTTCTGCTCCTGAGCGCGCGTGAGGTCGCTGTGGACGTCGGAGGTTCCAGTGGTGGCCTGGTCGGTAGCGCTGCCGTCGGGGGGGCTGAACACCGCATTGACGGCCACCCTCATCACCACCGCCTGCCCTAGTGAGTTCGCGTGGCCCAGCGGTTGCAGCAAGTCCTGCCACCACGCCTCCAAAGCGTCGATCTCCTCGGTCTCAGCCTTCCACTCGCTGTCCTCATCAAGCTCCTCATCGGCATCAAGTCGGTAGTGAACCACCTCGGTGCCTTGAAGGACCTCGGGCTCACTGTCGGGTTCGCTTGTCGAAGGCGTGGCCGTCGGGCTGAACGTCGCGAAGGCCTGCGCGGGCCGCGGCACGACGGACGGAAACGCCTCCAGCTGCGCCGTGGTGGCCTCGGCGTCGACCTCCTCCGCCCAGATGACCAGGAGCTCAAGACCCGGCATCCGCGCCTGAAAGTGGCAACCCACAGCCGTCCCCAGCCCGGCCCGTGCTGAGGCCGACCTAGACCACCATCGCGGCGCCCAGCCTCCCGCTGGGCGATGAGGGGAATGGTGAGGTGGGGAGAAGTAGACCTGGTTTGGGCCAGAGCGGCTTGAGCCAAGCGAGATCACCGCTTTGAAAAAGGGCCGTGCCCATGTGCGACCATTGCGCGAACTTATATTGCTGATCATGGACCTAGAGGAAGTATCAAGCGCAAACCTTACGTTGAAAAGGTACCGCACTCCATCCATGCAGCTCTATGTTCAAGCAACTGATCTTCACAATCAAGGAAATCTCAAGCGAGAAAACACTTTTGAAAAGGAGCCATCCTCCATCCTTGTTGCAAGTGCTTGAGACGTTTCCTCGCGGCGCTACAACGCTAGAGCACCAGTTAGAAGAAGGATCTGCATCCATCTTTGGACCTGCTGCACGTTATTAAGAAGCATGTGCGCGGCGCTAACGCGAGAGCTCCATTTCGAAGACGGCCCGCCCCGCATCCTTGAGACGGTTGCAAGCCTTTGCAGCGAGTGCGCGCGGCGCGAGGGTGAGAGCCGAGCCCCCCTGTCCTCGCAGCTGCTGAAGACTTCAAGACTTGACGTCATTCCTTATGAAGAAGTCTCGGGCGAAACACCTGGCCCGCCCTGCCGACACGTCTGGTGGTCAGACGAAAAACAAATATGTTTGTATGTACGTGTCTATATATATATATATATAGGTACACACACATATATACAAACATATATGAAGAGAAAGGGCGGAGGAGGTGGAGCAGGAGGGTGGGAGGGGGCGTGGTACCGATGTCATCCACGTGCAGTATGCAGGCGGAGGCGATGGGGGAGGGGATGGGGGAAAGGAGCGCGGGGGGAAGGCAGGCAGGCAGGGAGCATGGAGCCTGGATTGGCCTGGGTCCTAAGACCCAGGCCTGGAAAAGGCGGCGGCGGCGGTGAAGCACAGAATCCGCTAGCCACGGGGAGCAAACCTCCCGAGCCACTCGATCCGGCGGGCACACATACGGCATAGCACCGGCTCAGTTGTAGCAGCAACCCGCTGAGCACGAACGCATTCATGACAAGGAAGCCCGGAGCACTGATCTCAGGAGAAGGAGCGGCACGATCATCCACAGCGCCTTCAGCAGAGAAGCGTGCCCGACGGACAGCATGATGTGTTTCACGATGAGCATCAGCAGTAGCCCGGGGACCAATGCCAATGCATTCCTCAGAAGCAGCTGGGTGCTCGGCAACACGACACCCCCCAGCAGCAGCTAGAAGACAATGAGAGGATCGACGATGAACCCGATCATCATGAGCAGGGGCAGGATCGAGGCGAACCGCAGAAGCTTCGCCACGAGCGCCGTGCTCCTCTTTGCCCACACGCGGCTGCCGAGGGGCATAACCACCAGGATGACCTGCACCAGCTTGCCGAGCAGCTTTAAGGCCCCCTTCAACATGGCCGGGGCCAGAGCATGCCGGCGCCGCCACGCAGCTGCTTAGCGAGGGCCGCGCCAAGCCGGGACGGCTGACAGCCGCGGTGGTCGAGCGAGTCAAAAAGCAGTGCTCGGCAGGCGCTGCGCAGCGCGCGCACATATATGCGCCCGGCCGCTGGGAGCGCGGCGTTCGGAGCAGCCGTACAGCGCGGCCCGCCAGGAGCCACCCACGGCGGGACGGAGCCGTGGAGGCTCCGGCCTCCAGAGGTCTGACGACAACTACAAGGATAACGATCGATCGACGACGGCCGGCGGCCTCCACAGATTTCCATGGAGTCTGGGGGCCTCCAGAGGCCCGAGAAAAACACGACGCGCCCCGGAACGTGTCACCGTCCGATCACGTCCACAGAAGACGGCTACCACCACCACGACAATTACGGGGGGAGCGGGCGAGAGAGCGGGCAGAAGGGCCGGAAAGCCGCCTGGCGCGGGCTCGCGGGCTCCCGTGGGACGCACAACGACATGCTAGTGCTACACGTCCTCCTTGGAGGCGCGCGTCTGGCCCGAACCTGTAGTATACCCATCTTATAGTATACAGCTTCTCGAGCGGTGTGGCCAGAAAGTGCCCGCCACGACGCGTATACTATAAAATTTCTCGCTGCGTGCGCCGCCCCTGGTGGGGCGACGCACACATAGTATTAGAGAGTATGTTGGGGTGACGCCGATCTCGGCGCGGGAGTCGATCTGAGCCCACGCTCGAGCCAAAAGGGCCACGGAGGCAGGCAGGGAGGGTGGTGTCGGCTGCACAGTGACCTCTGATGCGCGGCGGAACTGGGGACGCGGGGTGGCCAAGCCCAGGCGCACAAGCCGCTGGTGGTGGTCGGCTACACTTAGGTCGGGCACGTCCCCCTACAGGCGGATATTGGGCGAAAAATGGAAATATTCAAAGAATACACCAAAATGATCAAAAAATGAAACACACACACACAAAAAAAAACCATCGTCCCATTTTTAAACTATTTTTGAATTTTCCTCCTGTACACGGACAGGCCCGACCTAAGGCTACACGCAAGAGTGACCCCACGCAAGAGCGACCTCCGGTGCGCGGCTTCACGGGGGACGCGGGGTGGCCAAACCTGGGCGCATAGGGCCGCTGCTGCCGCCCCTGCGCTCGGCGATTGGGGGGGCCCACTGGGCCCGCATCAAAGGTCGCTCCAGCGAAAGGCCACTCGCACGTCTGGTCGGTGGTGAGAGGAAGGAGGAAGAGGCCCCCTTAGCCTTGGGTCGGGCATGTTCTCCTACACTACAGGCAGATTTTGGAGAGAACGAAAAAAGTCCAACACAAAAAAATAGTCACAAGGGGAAGGAACATCTGCACCATACTATTTTTAAACATATTCTGGGATACTCCTCTTGTGGAGGGACATGCCCGACTAGCCTTAGCCCGTCCAGCCCCCCCCCCATCCGAGGCTCCCCAGCGGCAGGGCCTGAGCCCGGTTCCTCTCCACGTTGTGCTCCTGGGAACAGTGGGGGGGGCGCCCGACGTCCAGGTGGAGCAGGGCCGAGGGCCCCGTGTGTCCTCAGCGGGCGCTGTTGGTTTCTTACGCCACGACAACATCATGTATGTATCTGTACAAATAGGTATAAAGATATATCAGAGTGAGGGGGCCGAACGGTCATTCATTGTCCCTGGGTGCGTGGCTGACGTGAGAATCCGTGGTGAGGAATATGCTTGTTGCGTTGTTGCTGTTGGTGTTGATATCGTTGTTGTTGTTGTCGTTGTTGTTTCTGTTGTGAAATTGATGACTGTGTTGTTGTTGGTGTTGTTGTTGCTGTTGCTGTAGTTGCTGTAGTTGTTGTTTTTGTTGTGTTTGTTGTTGCTGCTGCTGTTGTTGTTGTTGGTGGTGGTGGTGGTGTTGTTGCAGTTGGTGTTGGTGTTGGTGTTGGTGTTGGTGTTGGTGTTGGTGTTGGTGTTGTAGTTGTAGTTGTAGTTGTAGTTGTAGTTGTAGTTGTAGTTGTAGTTGTAATTGTAGTTGTAGTTGTAGTTGTAGTTGTAGTTGTAGTGGTAGTGGTAGTTGTTGTTGTTGCTGTTGCTGTTGCTGTTGCTGTTGCTGTTGTTGTTGTTGTTGTTGTTGTTGTTGTTGTTGTTGTTGTTGTTTGTTGTCGTCGTTCCCCCCCCCGCGACCCACCCCGCGACCCACCCCGCGACCCACCCCGCGACCCGCCCCGCGACCCACCCGCGACCCGCCCCGCGACCCACCCCGCGACCCGCCCCGCGACCCATCCGCGACCCACCCGCGACCCACCCGCGACCCATGTGCGACCCACCCGCGACCCACCCCGCGACCCACCCACGACCCACACGCGACCCTCCCGCGACCCACCCGCGACCGATCCACATTGGCTTGAAGAATAAATCGGCGCCTGCGTCGGGCTCGTTGCACAATGAAACTTTAACGCTTGCGGCGGGCTTCTCCAGAGTCTCGCGGACTGCCGACGGCCCCACCGCCCCCTTACTCTTATCCGCATCTGCGGGGTGCTACCTATATCGATTTATCGTTATATAGACACTCTCCGACGAATATTGCACGTACCTTCAGGGAGGGTGGCGGTGAGTAACATCGCTGGCTCCCAGTGGTGATTTGCACACCGCCACCCTCTCCATGAGGCCCAGTAATTATCCATAGGAGGCTGTCTGTGTGTATATATATGGCGGATTTCTTTCATCAGAACAACAGAACCCTGAACACCTATGTAGCAACCCGCAGTTGCGGATAATAGTGAGGGGGTGGGCGCGGGGTGGGTCGCGGGTGGGTCGCGGGCGGGTCGCGGGGTGGGTCGCGGGCAGGTCGCGGGTGGGTCGCGGGTGGGTCGCGGGCGGGATCGCGAGTGGGACAACGACAACAAACAACAAACAACAAACACCAAACGACAAACAACACACGCCATAAAGCAAGCAGCAAACACCAAACAATAAACAACAAGCAAGTACGCAAGCCAACCAAACCAAACAACCAACCAAACAAACAACCCAGAAAACAAGCAAGCAAGCAAACAAACAAACAAGCAAGCGAGCAAACAACACCACAACCACCACCACCATAAGCAACAATCAATTTAAGACCGTTTGTTCTTACCTGCGCGCGTGCCATTCAAACCGTATGTCCCAAAACGTCGGTATCCGCCCTCTTCCTCTTCGATCGTAACCCCCTCGGGGGTATATCTTACTTACCTGCCGCGTGTAATTGGTGCAGCTCCTGAGGCAGGGGGGAGAGGACCGATGGAAGGGAGAGGGAAAAGGATAGAACACGGGATTAGCAGGAGGGAGGCCAGGAACAGAACACAGATGGCAGAACCAGACGGGCCCATCCGGCGGGCAGAGCCTAGCAGGCGGCCTGGGAAGGCGGGCCCAAGCGGCCAAATCGAGCAGTCGTGTGGCTGAAGCGTGGAAGCTGCCTGAAAACCGCGAGGACGGCTCCAGCGACAGTGCGATTCCCAAGTAAATCGTGCGAAAGGCCAAAGCAAGAGCGCGATTCCTGAGTGTCAAGGGCGCGGCACCTGAATCAATTGTGAGGAAGTCCGACGCGAGAGCGCGATTCTTGCATAACTTGTGAAGAACACCCGCGCGAGAGTGGGATGTTGGAATAAGCTGCTAGAAAGTATAAGGCGGGAGCCGTTGCTGTTGTAACTCAGCGGCCAGGGGCCCACTTTGGTGACCCCTCGCTTCCCCTTATAAGCAACAAGGGCCCCTAAGGGTGAGAGCCCCGTGAGGAGCACTTGAATTTACAAAAATACACTGTGCCTCGGAAGGGAGGAATCAACAAGACATATTATTTAGACCTGAGAATCCAACAGCAACAACAACAACAACAACAACAGCGGCAGCTGCAGCTGCAACAACAACAACAACAGCAATCATTGAACTATTGTTCGCTCTTACCTGCGCGCGTGCCGCTCAACACGTATATCCCAAACCCTCGATGCCCACCCTCTTCGTTTTCGATCGTATCCCCTTAGGGGTATATCTTTCTTACCCGCAATGTGTATTTCGTGCAGCATCTATGGCAGGGGAAGAGAGGACGGATGGAAGGAAGGGGTAAGGTGGAGAGAGGAGGATGGAGCAGGAGACAGAATAGCAGGATGGGGGCTAGGAGCAGAAAACAAGTGGCAGCAGAACCAGACGGGCACATCGGGCGGGTAGACCCTAATAGGCGGGCCCAGGCGGCCAGGTCGAGCAGGCGGGTTGCTGAAGCGTTCGTCCTGCATGAATCGCGAGGAAGCCTTGAGCGACAGCGCGATTCCAAAATAAATCTCGTGAGGAAATCCAGGGCGAGAGCGTGATTCCTGAGTGTCGAGGGCGCGGCGCCTGAATCTATTGTGAGGAAGTCCCAAGCGACAGCGCGGTTCCTGAGTGTCGAAAGCGCGACGCCTGAATAAATTGCAAGAAAGTATCAGGCGCGAAAGCGATTCCTCGATACACTGCAAGGAAGTCCCTAACGAGAGCGCGATTCTGCAAACAATAGCCAGGAAGCATTAAGCGGAAGCCGTTGTTATTATTGTAAACCGGGGGCCAAGGGCACAGTTTGAGCAGGAAGACTTCCCCCGGTTAAAACACAGCGAGCCCCAGGAAGGGCACTTCAAATGAAAGACACATATATGTTACGCGAATGCGTGAGTCGTGCATAATTCGCCAGGAAGTCTCGGGCGAGGGCGCGAGTCCTAAGTAAATTGTGAGAAAATCCCAGGCGAGAGCGCGATTCCTGAATGGCGTGGGCGTGGCGCCTGAAAAAATTGCGAAGACGTCGCAAACGAGAGCGCGATTCTTGGATACATTGAAAGGAAGTCCCTAGCGAGAGCGCGATTCCTCCGTAAATTGCGAGGGAATATCAGGCGTGAGCCGTTGTTGCTTTAGTCCGGGAGCCAGGGGCACAGTTTGAGCAGGAAGACTTTAGGTGCGAGCCAAAGGAAAGGCACTTCAATTGAAAAACACATGTATGACCAGAGGGGGGAATCATCAATATTTGTTGTTCAGTAGTGAGAGTTCAACGACAACAGCAACCACCATAAGAACCACAGCAACAACAAAAACAATGACAGCAACACCACCAACAACACCACCACCAAGAGCAACCGCCACCACCACCACCACCACCACCACCACCACCACCACAACAACAACAACAACAACAACAACAACAACAATCATTTAAGACTGGGGACACTCCGTTCTCACCAGTGCCAGGGTTTTCATAGGAGGCGGGCAATACCCCCACTTTGTGGGGGGGCCGGTTCAAGCTCTACCAAATTTCCAAACGACTCTTCGCCACCACCCACACCCAGCTTCCCGCCCTATGACGTTCGGACACTTCACTTCGTGGCATGCGGACGACCGTGGCTACTATTCAGGGCCCCGCGGCCGACGACGACGGCGTGCGCGCGCGAAGAAAAAACGAATGTGTCCCGCATGGTATTATTTGACAGGGATGATGGCCCTGGCAGGTGCGCAACCGTTGTCGCAGAAGTTCGAAAAAGTTGCTCGCAAAAGCCCGTTTGACAGAAATGTTTAAAAAGTGTTGGGTTTCCTACGAATCCGCAAGAGCGCGCGGGATGAGATTTTGACATTTTTTTGTTGAAAAACCATTGGTTTTTTGATGTTTTTATGTTAAAATCGCTCCGAACACTAAGCTTTTGGAAGGATTTCGTCTTGCGCGCGCGAATGTCCACTTTACCTTATTTTTTGCAAGGGATTCTTGAAATTTGATTATATTAGAACAAGAAATGTCATTTTATAGTGTTTTTTGCAAGGGAAAGCGGGGGGGAACAAAACAACCGGATCTTGATCACATCGAATTACCTGAGGCTTCCTCACGAAAATGATGAAAATGTAGCTGCGGCCTAGGCGGCGCAGGGGGGCCGTGCACCAGGGGTCCCAACAATAATTATTCTTTAGAATTAATAATGTTCAACAATTACTAGCACGTGGGGACACTCCGTTCTCACCAGTGCCAGGGTTTTCATAGGAGGCGGGCAATACCCCCACTTTGTGGGGGGGCCGGTTCAAGCTCTACCAAATTTCCAATCGACTCTTCGCCACCACCCACACCCAGCTTCCCGCCCTATGACGTTCGGACACCTCACTTCGTGGCCTGCGGACGACCTTGGCTACTACACTGGCGCATGGTACAATGACTTGTTGTGGTAACATTTTCTGTAAGCTAGCTTAGTATACGACTTTTCCCCCTGCAATTGAAGATTTCGGCGTGCGCGCGCGAAGAAAAAACGAATGTGTCCATATGGTATTATTTGACAGGGATGATGGCCCTGGCAGGCGCGCAACCGTTGTTGCAGAAGTTCGAAGCACGTGAAAAAGTTGTTCGCAAGAGCCCGTTTGACAGAAATGTTGAAAAAGTATTGGGTTTCCTAAGAAATCCGCAAGAGCGCGCGGGATGAATTTTTGAAACTTTTTTTTGAAAAACCATTGGGTTTTTCATGTTTTTATGTTAAAATCGCTACGAAAACTAAGGTTTTGGAAGGATTTCATCTTGCGCGCGCGAGTGTGCACTTCGTGTCATTTTTTGC